CAGCTTGCTAAGATTTATCGGACTTCTGTTGTATTATAATATCAAAATTGATTTGAATGATTATCAAAGATTTATCGGACTTCTATTGTATTATAATATCAAAATCGATTTGAATGATTATCAAATTAAGCTAAAGATTAGTCTGAAAGATAATTGAAAGATCTTAATTCAAATATTCGTTGTGAAGTTAAGACTCGCTAACCTCAAATTGTGATAACTATAATTTTTTTTACACAATTGCATGATAAAAAAATTAACATGGGAGACAATCGAGCCAAGAGTATTAATAAACAAGTGACTAGCAAGACAATTACTTCAATCATTCCTAATCAGAATCCTAATACTAGAAAATTAACATAAGAGGAACTCAAAGAATAATAATGATGAAAAATGGAGCAGGGAGCGTTATTGCAAGTAAGAAAAACTTTTGATGATTGAATTGAGAAACTAGAGATTGAGGTTATAGACTCTAATCATGAAGGTAAATAATAAGATTATTGAACTTGATATCTATGCTCTTCGTATATTAGCTAGTTATTCAAATTCTCAAACTATGAAACTTGAATGACTTTTAAAACGTCAGTACGTTACTGTTTTGAGATACTAGCAGCACTAACAATTTTATGGATAGTAAGATTGTTGTGATTGGCCTATCGCAATAAACATTATGATAAGTTTAAGATGAAGATTGCTAATGGATGAATCTTAACTTATGATAGGAAGTGTTCCAAAGTAAAGCTTGTTATGTAGCGCCAAGAGTTGTTCATAGATTTTTATTTTCTTACTACTATTAGAGGATCATGAAGTTATGCTTAGAATTAAGTGGCTATTAACTCTAGCCATTATTTATTGAAATTTTTTAAATTAATTATGAAAATTTTATTAGTGAAAAACTAAATAATCCTAAAGGGAAAGTGTGGTAGTATGATCATAATTGTTACTAGTCATAGAATGGAGAGGGTTCTTCAAAAGGCATACTATGGATTTTTGGTATACTTACGGAGCATTGAAGAGGAAACTATAATTCCTGAATAAGATGAAAATGTTCAATCATTGCTCGGAGAATTTATAGATGTATTTGCATAACCACAAGGACTTCAACCTCTTCGATCACATGGCTATCGGATTCCTTTATTGCCTAGGAGTACACCAACTAATGTTTGGTCCTATCGATATTCATACTTCCAAAAAATAGAGATAGAGAAAATTGTTAAAGAGATACTTGAAGCAAGGGTCATAAGGGCTAATGTTGGTCTATACTCCTCTCCAGTCTTATTAGTAAGAAAGAAGGATGGTTCTTGACAAATGGATGTAGACTATCGAGCACTTAATATTATTATAGTAAAAGACAAATATCCTATTTCAGTGATGAGTAATGGATGAGTTACTTGATGAATTAGGTGGTGTACAAGTTTTTACTAAAGCAGATTTATGGTCTGGTTATCACTGTATACGAAAATGATATTTAGAAAACTGCTTTTAGAATGCATGATGATCACTATGAATTTTTTATAATAACTTTTGGGTTAACTAATGACATCAACTTTTTAGAGTTTAATGAATGATTCTTTTGAGTTCATCTTCGTAAGTTTCTTCTAATTTTCTTTAATGATATGATTTTTTTTTATAATATTCTAATATATAGCCTATTTTCAAAAAGCCATTTATTATATTTGCATGTTGTCTTTGCCTATCTTTGTGAGCATTGCCTTTTTGTCAAGAAATCGAAATGCAGCTTTGCACAATCTAAGGTGGAATATCAAGGGTGTTGCAATTGATCCTTCCAAAATCTAAATAATAAAAGATTGGTCAATTCCAAAATCAGCTACGGCTCTGAGGGGATTCATGCGATTCATTAGTTATTATAAAAAATTTATGAAGAACTATTAGCAAAATCCATGCTCCTTTGACATCACTTTTGAAGAAAAATATATTTAAGTGAACAAAAAAAATTACTCAAGCTTTTATTTCTTTGAAGTATGCAATGACTACTATATTAGTTCTCGCTTTATTATATTTTAATAAGTTATTTGTAATTTAATTTGATACTTTTGGAGCGGGTATTGGAGTTATACTAATGTAAGAATGTCATCCAATCACTTATACTAGCAAGGCACTTTTCTCATCCCACCTGAGTTTATTTGTTTATGATAAAGAGATATTAGCCATTATTCATGCATTCACTAAGTAGAGACCTTACTTAATTGGTCAATGGTTTCAAATGCACATCGATCACAAAAACCTGAAATATTTTCTTAAGCAAAGGATTTCTTCTTTAGAATATCAAAAATGGATCACTATCCTATTGGGTTTTGACTACAAGATCATTGATAAGAAGGGGAGTGAGAATTTGGTTACAAATGTATTTTCACCTTCTAAAGTAAGCTAAACTAGTAGTTATTTCTATTTCTACTTGCAAAATATTAGAACGTTGGATAATACTAAAATTCAAGATGTTATTAAAAGCCTAGAAGAAGAGCCAACTTCAATTCCTAATTATAATTGGAATCTCGTAGATTTGTACTATAAGGGTAGAATTATCTTGACACCAAATTCTTCTTGCCAAAACATAATTTTGAAGGAGTTTTATTCATCACCAACTATAGGTCATTCTGAATTTCTTCATACATATAAATGCATCCGTCAACTTTTTTATTGGACTGGTATAAAGAAACTCTCAAAAAGTTTGTTTCAAAATGTGATATTTGCCTACATCACAAAAGTGAGATAGTTGCTACTCCTGATTTACTTCTGCCTCTTTCTATTCCTAATGATGATTGGACTGACATATCCATAAATTTTATCCATAGACTTCCATCATCTTTAGGTAAAACCACCATCTTTATAGTTGTAGATCACTTTACAAAATATACTCATTTTTATACTATATGATATCCTTATATTACTATTGCTCACATTTTTAATCGATAATATACTGAAGTTACATGAAACTTCGTGTTCCATCGTTAGTGATTAAGATAAAGTTTTTACTAGTACCTTTTAGAATGAGCTCTTTTAGTTACAGAGTACCCAGTTGAATATGAGCATTGGTTGTTACCCGCAAACAGATGAATAAACTAAAGTGATGAACAGATGTCTAGAAAATTATGTCAGATGCTTTACTAGTGATAAACCAAAGAAGTGGATTAAATGGCTTCCTTCGGTTGATATAATATCACTTATCACTCTTCTACTAAAATGACTCCTTTTGAAACGATTAATAGTCGACCTCCTCCCATGATTACAAAATACATGTTTGGTTCTTCTAAGGTTGATTAAGTGGACAAAAATTTGATTGATAGAGATAAGATAATTTAACTTCTAAGAGATAATCTTGCAATCTCACAAGCTAGAATAAAGCAATAAGCTGATAAGTATCATAGCGAGCAGGAGTTTGTAGTAAGCGATTGGGTTTCCTTTTGACTTTAACCTTACAAGCAAACTTTTATAAAGATTCAATCTTCTACGAAGCTATCTCTTCCATTTTTTAGACCTTTTAAGGTGTTGGAACATATTGACCCAATTGCTTATCGCTTTGACTTACCAAGAAGCTCTAACATACATTCAGTTTTTCATGTTTCTTATCTTAAAAAGAAATTAGGTGAAGATGATATGATGTAACACCATTTACCATATATTCCTTCTATTAGTGAGGTTCAAATCTTACCTATGAGGTGCTTGTCAAATGAGCCAACTTACCAATTGAAGATACCACTTAGGAGTCTTACAAAATATTAGAGGAGAAGTTTTAAAATTTTGATTGTGTTCTAAAGACAAAACTATTTTGGATAGACAAAATATGTTAAGATTTCTTAATTTTAAATGTTTCAATTTGATATTAGTCTGTATTTTCTTATTTAATTCTAAGTTTTTCCTAATTATGATTGGAATCCTAATCGATTAGGGATTACTATTTTTATTTATTTTTTTGTTAAAATTTCTTAATTTTAAATGTTTCGATTTGATATTAATCTTTATTTTCTTATTTAATTTTAAGTTTTCCCTAATTATGATTGAAATCCTAATCAATTAGGGATAGCTATTTTAATTTATTTTTTATTAAAATTTCTAGTACTAATTGACTAAAGATTAAATAACTATATATGTATAATATATTTAATTATTTTTCTCAAACAATAAAACAAGATTCAAAGCCTTGGATCAATTTAAAAATTAATCGTCTCGAAATTATCAAACCCCTATCTTTTATTCTTTTTTGTTTTTTGATCTTTCTAAAATTTTTAGATAAAGCCATTATGTACCTAAAGATGTTTATCGATCGGATCAAGAACCAACGCCAGTCTATATGACTCGGTACCTGATAATATTGATTTCTTTAGTGATACCCGATGATCATACAAATCGATATTTCAACAGATGTGCCGATACCATACTTTGCTCCGACAGTTCAAAACTGATGAAGGATCAAGATTTTAAACCATAGTTTCCAGATTTCATAAGTTTCACAAACTGACTAAGGTTTAAGTTCCTTTTTGTAACGCAGTTTCTGTCGAGCATCTGAGCATGAAGAAATATTAACAGTGGTCTTATTTGCCGCAACCATAAGTGTACAGAATATTGGAACCAAAACCGACCGGAGAAACGTCAAACACAAGCAGCCATTTTCTGGATTATGATAAAAATTAACTAATAAGCAATAAAACTATATGTTAATAGTTATAGCCTGATCCACATGTTCTTAGGAATCTTAACACACATCGCATGCTAAATAAAAAGTTGCTTGACATGCCCATTTTATTACAATAATAAACCGGCGAGTCTGATAGATATTAGATGCTAATCACATCACTATATATATAGAGCCATCAGGACTGCTCGAGCAGGTTTGCATAACATCATCCATCCATATCCATGATACTGAAAATATACAGCAGACTTGGAAAACATCATCCAGAAGCCCCCATCATGCTTCTTGTTATAACAATGGGCTACTTGAGCAAATATCTATTCTATGCAAATACCCTATGATACTTCCAATGTCAAACAATAACTCATAACTGCTGACACTGATAATTTGAGATTGCTACAATTTATATGTTTATATACTCAGAATGGTTGGGAGTAACTCACCAAATGTAACCAAGGACAGATAGGCCAAAACATACATCATGGAAAATAAGACTTAGATTAACATATATCTACAATCACAATCGACTTAACCATCAAGACTCATCATGGACTTCAGGAAAAGGCTTAGGAAAACTAGACAAATAGTAGGCATTGAGACAGTTGATCTGTTGGTCATACTGTTCTTCTGCAAATCATATTATCTAACAAAAATACCACTCTGACTACTATTTCAAAGTTGGTAAGTTAGGTATTATGGGAACAAAATAAAAGCAAAGGAATAAAGATGCACAAGCATAGCACTTAAAAGCAAGTGCTTTAATATACCAGCCTTGCGCATGTATACTCCATAAATATCCATCAACTTGTTGGCCGCGCTTCCAGTATTACTTGTGTAACTTCATACCTCATGTTAACTTCACAAATTTAGAGACTCTGATCGTTAAGCAAGCAAATGGAAAGTCTTACATGCAATTCCCTTCCCCATCAATTTAGCGCTCTTCCTCTAATAAGGGGGCAAAAGAGACCTGTCAACATAAAAACAGAACATGACAAGAACATGTTTTTTATCAATTTAAATGCCTTCTATGCTCTGGGTTATCTGAACTTGTAAGCCAAACTTGATTTATGATCCAATACTCTTATTAAATATCAGAGTACGAACTTACAAAAATCCAACATCGAAGTCTCACGCGTCCAACCACCGTGACTGGTAGTTCAGCCAGCAGCGATTGCCAGCTGACTGAAGCACAGCAAAAGGGAATTATTGTTAGTTTAACTACGATATGTCTTACCTTACAGTACATCATTTGAAGATGACCATAAAGGTTATTATTCATAATAAGGGTCACAATTTAAAACATGCTACCTCCATTTTAATAAAGAAAGGATACACAACCTAGGTCAAAATTACTATGCAGATCTAACATGAGGCTACAAACAAGAAACAAGCATAATAATTCTAATACTAAGAATCCACCTGATCCATTCTGAAATGTTTGGTGACACCTGTTAGAACCCAGAAATTCCTGCACGCCATCCAACTTTTAGTGCCTTGACGTAAATACAGAAGAACCAATATTTCAAGTATCGACTGGAGCAAATAATGCTAACCATCGTCAGGATCTCCAGAAGTTGCAGTTTGCATGATCTGGTGTATTTGGTCCATAAGTTGGCCTGATAAGCTCTCAATAAACATATACGATTCCAAATTTTCTGCAGCTCTTACTGCAATTTTATTCAGAATGGAGCACAAAGAGCTATATCGCCTTCCAACAGTTGATCTGTTTTCCCCATTAACTGCTATTCCATGATTTTCATGTAGGTTTGTCACCTTTGCATCTTTAGTCCACCGCTTCAATATATAATGCGGTGGCAACTCCTTAATATTTATAACATCAAGTGTCTTAAGCACATGACGGCAATGAATACCTACAAACTCGAATCTTTTGCAACTGCATGCAACTGTACCATTTGACGAGTCAAATTCAACAATGTATTCCTTTGCCTTATCCTCAATGGTAACCTTGTACCGAAACATTGTCCCTTCTTGTCCGCAACAATATACCATACAATCCATGGACAATTCAAACTCTGTTTGGAATGTCTTATATACAGCAGGCGTATACATATTTGCAGCCTGTCTCAACATTCGGGAAAAAGGCAATTTAGGAATACATTGGTGTGCATGGATATCATATTCTAATTCAGCATCTCTTCGCTTATCGACAATTTCTTCATAGCGTTTAAAGAAGTCCAGAAGATCGAGTTTTGGGTCCAAATATTCTTTGAGCTCACTGTTCATATTTTCACTAACCAGTGTGGATGTCATGTCTGCACAAAACATTTGTCGTTCGTACGGCAGCGCCCATTTCTTCCTATCTTCATATAGACTAGCCAACCATTCATTCGCATGGAGATCATAACTTTGCAATAAAGTTTGCCAGCCTGACAAAAACTCTTCCTCATCCTCATAATCATAAATGCATTTACTGAAATCTCTAGAGAAAGTTTTTGAACCTTGGAAGATGAAATTTAGGTACATGGTAGCATCATTGTACAACTGCCACACACAAAGACGATGTGTTGTACCTGGCCACATCACAGCTAATGCATTACTCATCATCTTAGATTGGCCTGTCAGGATAACCTTGGGTTGTTTTCCGTTCATGGCATCCTTGAATGTCTGAAATAACCATTTGAAAGATTCTTCTGTTTCATCATAAAGCATTGCAGCACCAAATATGATGGCTTGCTTATGATGGTTTACGCCAATGAAGGGTGCAAATGGCCTACCATAGTCACTCGTCTTATATGATGTGTCAAAACAGACAACATCACCAAAGTATTCAAAGTCAACTATAGACTTGGCATCACTCCAAAAAACATTTGCTATTTGGTCATCCCTGTCCAGCTGCAATGCATAGTAAAAGGAGGGATCAGCAATCTGTTTCTCATGAAAGTATTGCATCATGGCTCCAACATCTCCAATCCTAACATCGTTTGTCCGCTTGGATGGAATGTAATTCTTGCAATTTACAGAAGAAAAAATGGGATCACGACAACTGTCTCTCGGTGCATCAATTTGTTCCTCCATAGTTTCTGACACTGCCCCAAATTCATCATCAAGATCCACTAAATCAGCCTGAGATTTAAGCATCCCCCTACGCCAACGCCATCTGAATAAGTGAGCTTTGGATGGGATTACTAGTGGATGATTGTGCTTTGGCATGAATTCTGACACACGATACCTCCCATTCTTCGTGATCTTAATGGTCATGGATGCAAGACAACCCGTTCTGTCATACGGCTTTGGACACCTTTTCCTCTGCTCATCTTTCTTTCGACGAAATCCCTCCTTGTGACAAACATAAGTCCTGGAATAAACCACGCCCGAGGCTCTGCGTTTCACTAGATGCTTTCTAACACTAAATCCGATGCTGGTAGCATAGTTAATATAAAACAGGTAGGCCTCCTCATCATCCTCAAACTCCAGATCGACCTTGGGCACCAAGGTCTCGTGCTGGGCATCATCAATGCAATGATGCGCCTCCCCTGTTTTGGTAGAGGAGTAACCACAGCGGGTCTCTGGCACTCTTCGCTGCATATATCTCAAAGCAGTTCCCAAATCTTCAACCTTTGTGGCATTGATAGATTTCAGCGGCACAAAATTTGCAAGACTTCGCCGAACCATCGCTTGCTTTAGGGCGTTCTTATCGCCAGCTTTTCGTGTTGTGTCTGATCCACTAGTTGAATCGGTGACAAGCAATGGAACCTCGGGAGCTAGATCATGGTTATGCTGCGGCTCGAACTCACTCACGCGAAATCCACCGTTGTCCAAGATCCGGATGGTCATGTGAGCTTGGCAGCCGCTCCTGGCGTTCGGCTTTGGCTTCTTCCCCTCCTTGAGGCTCCTACAGAACCCTTCTTTGTAGCAGGAGAACACCCGGCAGTACACCGACCCAGAGGACCGCCGCTTCACCAGATGCTTCCGGACGCCAAACCCCATCCGCATGCCGTAGAGGCAGTAGAAAAGGTAGGCCTTCTCATCGTTCTCGAACACCATGTCGACCCTCGGCACCCAGCCCTCCTCGTCGGCAGCAGTTTCCGCAGATCCATCATGCTGCTCCGCCGGTTCGGACGTCATTTCTTCCTTGGCGACGAAATTTCCCGCTCTAAAGCCTAAAATCATCCGATCTTTCGCTTCAGCCGGAGCCGATCCTGGTCTGCGGAAATTCGAAACATCTCCCCTTTGCAAGAACAGAGAGCGGCGTGAGGTGCAGTCTGGACGCGAAACGAATTCACAACATCTCACCTTTGAGTGATGAAAGAGCTAAGGGAGGCGGAAGGAGACCAGGAAAACCGAAAGGAACGAGATCGGAAGCGGATTCACCTCGGCTTCGGTTGCACCTTCTCAGTTGTAATGGCGGCGCGTTGGGAGGGAGAGGAGAAGAGAGTGATCGGACAGTGCGAAGGTCCGACCACGGTTGGACGGCAACAGCAGAGGAGAGGGGGGCGGAGCAGGGGAGAAGGGAGAACCTGCGGTACGACCCGCGCGGATGCGCTACACGTGTCGGAGTCGACCGCGGACACCAGGAGGCTCTTCAATCCAGCTTTGGAGCACCTCCATCGAGTCCAATCGTTCGGGAGCCACGTGTCGTCGGAAGCGGCCATTAGTACGAGAGCCATGCCATGTAGAATGGCCCGGAAACCCCACTTCCAACATTCTCGGTGAGATTTGAGAGCCATGCGAAGAAGAGCTTTTGAATGACAACAGATGGTACACTCTCCAACTTTCGTTCGATCCAAACTCCGGTAATCCGAAAAATACTTGTATTCGTCTCTAAATCCAAATATACTATATGTTATATTTCAAACTTGATTAAACAACATACAAATCTGATTTAAATGGATCAAATACATATAAATATCTGAAATAAAAATAAATGTTAGTGTCATAATCGGTCATATCTCGAATCCTATCTGTTGATGGATTGATGCGCCATGGCTGATAGAGTCAGCACGGCCTGGTCCACAGGGCAATGTCGGGAGTCTCTGGTCGGTGTAGCTGAGTTTCGAGATCGATCGACCACCACTTTGAGCGTTGGCAGCGGGGGTCTTTCCTACAAAAAAGATCGTCGTCAGATGCTTCCCGACTTTGGTCCCTCCAACGATCAAGTCAATGGCGGATTGGAGTTTTTTTCTCTCTCTTGGTCAGATACCAGCCAGGTGCTTTTATGCTACTGTATGAGGGTCGGTCGTACGCGGGCGTAGCGACCGATCCTCGGGAGATGAGGCGATACCTTTATGTGACCGCCGCTCTGGGATGCGCGGAACGGCACCATGCGGCGCCGTCCCGAGCTTTCCGGGACGGGACGTATCCGAGCCACGCCTTGATACGGTCTCTGGCTCAACGCGTGGGGGTGCTCCTAGTTGTAGCGCTACGTGGCATCGCTCGTGAGGCGACATGGACCTAAAATATACCTTATCACTTCTCCTCCTCCCTCCCCCCCCCCCCCCGCATCGAGGCATGCTGTGGGATCTTTGAGAGGCCGAGAGGCGCACTTGGGTCGGAACGCCGTTGATGTGGACTGCTTGCGAGGGGAAGTTGGATCGGCTCGTCATGGGGCGGTTCTGGGCGGCGCCCTAGCAGGGCGATATTGGTAGGCCGTTGGTTAGAGGACCAAGCAGTGTGATTCGAGTTAGAGATTGGCACCATAGTGTCACGGACAAACTTCTAAACAAGGTGTTCGATGTAATGCTCATATATGTCCGTGTCTCTTGGCATGTTCATGCCTTGTACAGAATGTAGAGGGGCGGCCGAAGGCTTAATAGTCCCATTTTAGTTGGGTTGGTGGCCTCTTTAGGCTTGTAAATAAAGGTTGTGTCATGTGGACACGCACGAGAGCTCTTCGGTCTGTAATGGACCATTTTACCCTTTGTTGTGCCACTGTTCAGAGCTTGTAAAGTATGATTGTAATTTGTATTGTCTATGAAGTGTTTTTCGGAGATGTTTGCTTGTGGATCCCGATTGAGGCATTTTCTCTAGCCCGTTCTCTCTTTTGTTGGTCCTAAGGGACAATGGGAGTCTGCGGGGAGGCTGACCTTTGCGGACGGACACGCAAGGGTGCCGCACGACTTAGGCAAAACTAGCTAAGTCCGTGTCATATGGTATCAGAGCGGGACAAGCACTCATAGAAACACTTGACATGCAAACGTGGGGGACCTAGCGGGGCTGCATGGAGGGCAGTCAGCAACGCGCGACCGTTTGAGGGAAAACGAGCATGGAGATGTAGGGAAAAGAGTCGCTCAGAGGAGCGGGCATCTAACATTGGCATTCAGAGGAATGGCCAACCCTTCACGCAAGAGGCACCACGAGAACAGGCAAGCTTGGAAGAATGCGGAGCGCACAAAGGTTGGGATGGCTGAGTTTGAGCTACGGCTCAACGTTGACAACTTTACTTGATGGTGCTCAAGGCAAGCAAGGTGCTTGGCAAAGGACGAGACCATGCAAAGTGGAATGAGTTGCTCAGCGACCGAAAGAGTTGTGCAAAGCTCACAGAGGTGAGGGGAATTGCTAACTCGAAGAATTCGGTACTCATGCATGGGCTTGTATGCGGACGATGGAATGTTCGTGGCCATCCCAAGGCGGTCGAGACTCGGCGCCATGGAGCATTGAAACTTTCTCTTCGGCATGCGAAGGATACGTCCGGAGGAGGCTGAAGTGTGCAACGAGTTCAGCATGTTGCTAGGCCTTGAGGGGTGCAGCGGTGGCTGTATTGACGTGGAGGCGCAATCTAGCAAGTGCGTTTGCAAGAGGCAGAACAATGCACAGTTTGTTCAGCAGATCGGAGTAGTCCAAGGGGATGGTGATCTCCGAAACGAAGAGAGATGTTGCTCCAACGGGACAGTTATCCAGGAGGGATAAGTCTCGGCTCTCCAGAGGGAGAATCATGTGAGACGGACTTCACATGTTGAGTAGGAGTACCTCACAAACAACAACTCCACGAAGCTCAATGGACCGAGCAAGCAGCGAGGAGTTGTCGCATGATCTCGCTCGAGAGAATGCATCGGTGGATGCATTGCGAGATCAAGTGGGGGAGCGACCTAAAGCAACTTAAATGAAGGCACACTTGGAGTCGATGTAGAGATCGGACTCAAGGGAGGGCTGACACGTGGAATGGTGGGCACGAGGGCCACCATCGACTCAATGCGAAAACGAGGAGCGGAGCAACTTGGGTGTAATTTGGCGAAGTACCCAAGCCGCATGAAGGGAGCCAGCAGAGAAGTTGGAACATGGAGTAGAAGCACAGTGCTTTCCTTAGACAGAGGTCAAAGACATGAACTCTTGTAGAGGTAAGAGTAGGATCATGTTGTTCCATGGGTCTTTCATTCTGACGGAACGGACTCATCTTGCATGGTGCCAAAGACGAAGGGAGCTTCGGGGCACATGCACCTTATCTCGGAGGAGTATTTGATGAAGGAACTAAGGCGACTCAATTTGTGGAGGCGAAGTTGAGTTCAGAAGACCTTAGCACGGGGCAAGAGGACGCAGAGGCGGGTACTCTTGAAGAATATGCCACAGTGTTGTCATTCAAAGTTGCCATGAAGGAAGCGGTGCGCAGCGGAGATTGTGCTGGTAGGGGCAGAGGCCCAAGATCCAGACAATGGTGCACAAATTACAGTGAAGTCGGTGGACTTCGGGAGCTACTAGGCGACGAACTGTCCTAGAGCAGTGCTTCATCTAGGTGTGACCCAAGAGTGGGTGGATGAAGGTCGATTGCCAAAGGAGCGAACAAAATCGAAGGTGGAAGAGACCCTGCGATGTATTGGTAGAGGCCACACATGGAGGGTTCTCAATTTGAGTTTATTCCTAAAGGATCAGAATGCAATGGAGATGTCACCAGGAGGCGACATGGTGCAGCGGATCATGGTGGAACAGTTCGTGGCAATGCGATACACACGACATTGTCCCGGGAGGGACTAAATCATATGGAGGTATGATCGGGAGCTACTGGAAGCTCCACTTCGGTGAACAACACGACGGCAAGAAGGGCTATGGATTCAAGGAGTGAAGGCCATGGTACCGCAGAGGCGGGTCTTCCGGGCGTGCATCGAATTTTGCATTGGATGAAAGCCTTGGTCATCAGCATATGGGGGCTGTGTTCCACCAAGGGAAGAGTTCAAATGCAAGTACCAATGAGTTCCATGGGAGGGACTTGATCATGCAGAGGTATGATCGAAGCAACTGGAGAGTTGGACTGCTCCAGAGCTCATATTCGCTTAAGGGAGCCCGACAAGTCAGAGGACAAGGTCGAGTAAGCGAACGTTGCTACCAAGAAAGCTAAGGAGAGCAGAATCAGTGCAAACCCTACAATGTGATGGCAGAGGCTAGGCATGGGAGTTGCAATCTGTCTTTCCATCGACCAAACAGTCTGCTTGGAGAACACAGAGGTGTTGAAGCAGGGGGTCGAAAGGGGCGAGGAAGCGACGACGAGTCCAGAGGGACTTAGCTACCCAAAATCAAGCATCAGTTAGAATGGAGGTGGACTCAGAGGAGTGCCACGGAGACATATCTACTGATTGTGAAGAAAAGGGATTCAGAGGCGAGGCGACAGATAGTAGTGCCATGGGCATGGCAGCGCCATGGTACCGCAGAGGCGGGACTTCCGTGAAAGTCATTAATCCCTTACTCTCATGGAGGGAGAGCGCTTGGTCATGAAAGGGGCCGAGGAGGCGGAGCATGCAAAGGCAATCTCCAAGTACCGAGACAAGGCTGAAGGGCAGAGGCCAAGGAACTTCGTAAGACCGGTGTCAAGGAGCTTCTCATCAAGATAGCCGAAAGTGAAGGACTTCGGGTCATGCAAGAGTGCACGACCAAGGAACGAAGCAAGCAGTACGTGGTGCTGTACCTTTGCTACTCAGTGGAGTAGGCGGTAGGGTTGATAGAGAAGATGGTACAATCCCAGAGGCGACCTCATCTATCAGAGAATTACTCCAAGTTGGGGTGAAAACTTCCTACATTCCAGAAGTTCGATGGCATTGAGAAGGTGAATCACAGTAGCTAACTCAACACAAGGAGTGCAAACACTTCAAGTGCTTCAGAAGTGTGAGCAAAGAGCAGGCGAAGGCCAGTAACCAGCTCGATGCATGAAGTACAACCTCGAGGAGGCGGGCGAAGTCAAGTAACCTTTGCCTTCTCAACTCTTAAGAGAATGGGCGAAACCGAGTACCT